ATTTGTCTAGACTTGCCTAGATCAAAATTTTGGTTAGAAGGGGAAAGGTCTATTCTCATCAACTCCAATTCTTATTTGATCAATTTCCTCCTGTAGTAATACTGTATCAATAAGAGATGATTCTTACTGGACCTCTAGGAAGAACAGTTTAGAACTGATAGAGCTATCCAGTATAAATAAAGTTGGTTTAGTTTAGGGTTTCTCCTCTAGTAACTCTGGATCAATAAATGATGGGCCTTACTGGACTTTTGAAGAGAATTGTTTTGAACGGATAGAACAATCTAGTGTATATAAAATAAGTTTAATTTATGCCAAACTGCCCGTTTTCAACAAAATTCAGTAGCAGGATTAAGTTTAGATCTAGTATTATAAAATACCAACATGGATTTCTTGCGACATGCAGGGTGTAAACGAGAAGAAAATTAAAGAGGAAAAGGAACGACTTGAGAAAGAAATGAACGAGAAACAACGACAACAACAAGAAATGATTCAAGAGAAACTGAAAGAACAGAAGAAACAATCCGAAGAAGATTCAAGATGGTTGGAAGAAGAAGAGAGCAAATCTGAGTTCCCTGGATTGCTCTCGCCGGTAGGTTCAACTTCTTTGGTGTGGCTTTTCTTTAGGGAGATTTACCAGAGCCGCATTATTTACCGTGTGTTTCTCTGAATTCCGAATTTCCTAGAAACCTGGATCTGGAAGTCCTGAAAACGAAGAACTTCCCGTCGTCGAGTCGTACAATCCCGAAGGTTCTGGAACATTTATCCAATCCGGAAAAACGACACGAGAATGTTAGTAGACGTTTTTATACTCCATTATTTAATTGAAACAAAACTGGATTGCATATTAAGTTTGAATTTGTCGTTTATTTGCTTTGATTTTGCCATTGTAGTTCATTTATCCCCTCAACTGAGCCCTCAGGCAGCGACGATTGAGGATGACACTGCGTTCAAATTTCCAGAGGTATGAAATACATTTTAATTTGCAGTAATAAATTTACGTAGTGTTTCCACAAACAAAAAGTATTATAAATTTTAATTTGTCCTTCACGTTTCTCTGACCAACCAGATGCGTTTAATCTACTCGATTAACCAACCAAACAGATATCAAGCCACTGATTGGTAGTATCCTGTTCCTGTATAAATATAGTAGCAACATTATAGTAGCAACATTAAGTGACGTCATCCCTTGGGTATTTAAGAAGCCACGATCGCAGTTTTAGATCACCCCTGATGAAGACACTAGACTGGAGTGTCGAAACGTTGGGTCTTGATTACAATTCGACTGGGCTTTGTAATCATTTATTTAAACCAGAGTAGCGAGCGAAACATGATTGATATACCTCGTTGCAGTGAACGAACAAACTTTATAGTAAAATATACTTCGTGACTTTTTCTCAGCCGCCACCCCCTCCTGTTTCTGAGACCGAGCAGAACGCGGATATCGATAGGACTGGGGACAGTGTGTTCGCGTGTACGACTGATGTGGTTAGAAGTGTGATTGATTTAAATCGAGAAACAAACTTCGCTGACTCGAGGACTCTCGTGATTTTAATTACAGTAAGTATCATGTTTGCTTTACGATGTCATTGCTATAATAGGTCCTACATCTTGACTTCACTTGTGATGTTTTTACGTTATTTAGGAAGTAGGAAAGGCTCTGAGGTCGTTGTTATCAGAAGTCGATAACGAAGTGAAGTCACTGCCTCAATCGTCACATAAAGAGGTATTTTGTATACCATACTATATCACACTTTCCTTACCATACAATACCATACCATATACCATACCATACATGTACTATCTAGTATGGGACCTTGTGTCCTCTTATAGTTACACCGCCTTAGGGTAATTTTTTTAAAATAAAAAATAAATAAAAAAATACCATACCATACCATTTCATACCATACCATTTCACACCATACCATTTCATACGCATTTCATACCATACCATTTCATACCATACCATTTCATACCATACCATTTCATACCATACCATTTCATACCATACCATTTCATACCATACCATTTCATACCATACCATTTCATACCATACCATTTCATACCATACCATTTCATACCATACCATTTCATACCATACCATTTCATACCATACCATTTCATACCATACCATTTCATACCATACCATTTCATACCATTTCATACCATTTCATACCATACCATACTTGTCTAAGCCATACGATACCATACCATTCTACACTCTACATTACCATTGTAAACCATACTACACCATACCTTACCGTAGCATACCATAGCATACTATTGTATGGTATGGTATAATATAGCAGGTATACCATATCATACTTGTCTAAGCTTTGCCATACTACACCATATCATGCCATGCAATACCATACCATACCATACCATACCATCATACCATACCATACCATACCAAACAGTTTTATACCATACAACATTAAACAACATTGCACTATACTAGCTTGCTGAAAGCTGATAATAAGAAAATGTTATTAATTAAACATTTTACACATATAATGACTACTTTTTCCATCGACAGGTTGAAATGGCTCACAAAGTGTTATCAGCCGATATGGCTGACCTTATTACAGCTCTAAAGACGGCTCAGAAATACGTCGGTAGTACGTTAGAAGACAGTTATAAAAAAGAAATGTTATCAGCCGCGCATGTGTTGGCTGTGGACGCTAAACATCTCTTTGATGTTGTAGACGGAGCTCGGTTACAAAACTCATAGTGCGCGACTCTGCTTCTGATCTAAATACAAAATGGATTGATTCGCTATTGTATTCAAAAGGAAGCCAGAATTGAGCCACTACTAACGGAAGAAACATATTTCGAGTGATGGGCACTTTGCTAATAATGAGGGAGAGGGGGCGAATTTAGGTTGCTGCCATGACTATATTTCCATTTCATGCGACTGCCTAGTTCTTGCAGGAACCAGTGGTACAAAAGCTAAATAGCACTATCCACCGAATAGTGATCATTTCAAGATTAAACAATTGTGCATATGTCTCAATTAAAAGCATCTATTATCCATTGCGAGGTCGATAACTTGAAAGCGTTACAAGTAATTTTACAACTGTCCAAAAGTCACTATCCGGTGGATAGAGCTTAAGGCCCTGTCACAAGGCCCTGTTACTTACTTACTTACACTATTGCGTATGAGAAGCGTATGAAAATTAATGAAATAATTTTCATACGCACAAAAATCCTTTGAAATGCCAGCGTATGAGTTCCGTACATCTGGCGTACCTCTAGCGTATTCAGCGTGTGCCTAGAGTATGCTTATCGTATAAATGATACGTCCGAATACGCACAAAATTTTTGAGCATGCAAAAAAAATTTTCTGCCTCGCCGTATGCGACCGTGCTTGAAACGTATACAACGTATGCCTAACGTACCCTTAGCATATGTCAGCGTATACCGGCGTATGAGTGGTATTTTTCATACGCTGGCATACGCTAGTACGATACGCAATAGTGTGACAGGGCCTTTACATTTCAAGAGATGTATGACTTATGACCACTGGCTCCAATGAAGCCGTTAGCGTGTATTAATCCCTCGAATTTTGAGAAAATGGTAGAGGGATTATTCACAGCTATATCCAGCTGTCATTTAAAGGCCTCCCCCCCCCCCTTAGTTTGCGCCACTGTTGCTGTTTTTAAAAATAATCAGATGCATTCAGGGTTCTGCCCAATTTTTGGTTTGAGTGGCTGGAGGCACCGCCCACCGGGGACAGAACCCTAGCATTTTTTGAACCCACCTTAGTATAATGGCCGATTTCATTGTCTAGCAGTGTTTGGCCGGCTTTATTTTCTATAACAATATTACTGTATACTGTTGTAGAAAATAAAGCTAGCCAAACATGAACAATCACTTTGGAAGTGAAATGTGATTGAAATGTCAAAATTGCCAAATCTCCATGCTGAGCTTTTCAGCAGTATTATTGTATAAATTTCAAGTGGAAATATTTTAGTTATATAAAGATGATTTTAAACATTGTAAATTAGCTTATACAGTGTGTGTTTTCTGTGCGATGTGAGATATGGCCACCATTTCTAAATTTTACATACAGTGATTGAGTTCGGATTTGCATATTTTCCGTCAACACTGAAGTATACCAACACATCATAGCAAAAAACTTAATCTTAGGGGCGGACCATTAGAAAAGTGATGAGGGGGGGGCAAAAGCAAAAATAAAAATCGAGCAGGGGAAACAGAACAAAAAAAATTCGTGCACCAGAAAAGTTTGAAAAAAAAATTCGTGCAGAGACTTTTCAATAGGGAAAGTTATAAGTTGACAGGGCCTATCAAAGATACAGTGTAAGGGTGGCCCCCAAATTTGGAAAATAAAAGAAAAATAATTTGGAACTTTTTTTTGATATAAGTAATGGTGTGAGAAAAAGTTTTCTAAACCTAAATGTTGCGGATATTGGTGCAAAAAAGCGTGTTAATATGTTTTAAGAAGAATTTGTCAGGGAAAATGTGTTTAAACCTTAACTGAACTGATGTTAGTCCACCGCCCGCCCGCTGCCAACAATTTTTGAAAAATAAATTGAGCGCAAGGGATTATTAAAAAAATAATAATAATCGACACAAGCAAAAAATAATCGTAGACGTTGGAAATGGACCCCCATCACTTTTGTAATGGTCCGTCCCTTACGATTTTGTTATTCAGAGCACCATAAAATTGACACAAAACACAGTTTTTAATCCCCCCCCCATCTGACGTCCGTGTTGAAAAAAAACGTCGCTTCCTTAAGCTCCATATACTGCTCTGATATTAAGGTCCAGACACACCGGACGCGATTCGACAACGCGACGCGAATTTTCAGTTTTCAAAAACAAATAAAACCGTCAACGGATAAAAATTTTACAAGATATGCAGACAAAATAGCTAACATTGCTTAAGTGGTTCCGAATATTTGAAAAACAGAAAAATATTAAAGTTAAATGCCATTGAAAATTCGCGTTGCGTTGCCAAATCGCGTCCGGTCTGTGTGGGCCTTTACTGTATGTTTAGCGAGAGACCTGTGGCGATAAAGCGGAATAATTGTAATTGAAAACATATGCAGAAAATACTAATACTTTGTAATAGCCACAAGGACAACGTTCATGATTTAACTATTTACGACTTACGACATAGAAAGCCAAGGAAGTCTGCCTTTTATTAAACCAGATAAACTAGAAATACCTGACCGTGAAATTATATTCCGGGAAGTGGGGAAGTCCGAAAAATTGGGACTTGACATCATGTGATACTTGGTGGGATTTTCCCAGAATACAATTACACATTAAAACCAAAACAACGTCTTTGTTTAGCTTCCTTCGATATTGTACTGACGAGTGACGGTATATTTCACAGGAATTATTCATGGCGAAATATTTTGTGTATTGTTTTATTTTCAACCTGGCGTGTTGCTTTGCCCTGCCTCAAATTGGAGATCGTTTAGGTAAGCAAGTTATAGTATAGTGATATTAGGTCATTGTCACCCTTCACGGATGATTCGTCCATGTGTACACGAACATAATGAAAGTATATGTCAGATGCGATATCAAATAAAATTTAATTACTTGTAGTTAGCAAGCCTTCGATGCAAAATTATTAGGTTTGTTTCAAGACTCCGCTATGTGTATACCCTACGCCCGTATTAAACCAGACATTTGGTTCAGCGCATGACTAAAAAGTACGGCGTCTAAACCCATGGCCATGTCAAACTTGTGTAGCATAATACGACATGACGTGCCGTATTTTGTGCCATGTCGAACCTAATCAAAACTTGCCGAACTTAATTGGGTCGTAAAAAATAGGGTCACGAACTTTTTCATCGGCCAGTTTATAATAGTTTGTACCTGTAAACCACATATAAATCATAAGTATTCTCTAGACTGGTCTGGTTCTAATCACTCCGCGTATATTTTCAGTTCTAAAATGTTGTATTCCGGCTGATGAGAAAGATCGTGACTCAATCTTTACGACCGTTACGAGCATATGGACTGAAGCTTGAAAACCAGGCTTAATAAGTTCTTTTAATAATCATGGACATGGTTTGTTTATGTATGTTATTGCAATGTAAGACACGACAAATCCATACGTACGACAGATGATGCGTGTTTATATTATAGACTATAGACTATAAAAGTTTTTGTGATCACAGTAGGAGTTTTGCATGGATTTGTAAGAAATGTTGAGGGAATGGACTCACTGTTTAACACTGATTCAGTTCTATCAAACATTTCTTACAAATCCTTCAAAACCTAGAATTTAGCGCAGAAATTCCTACTGTGAATCACAGATATTTTGACAGTGTAAACAAGGCTTAACCGCTATCCGAGAATGAGGAAATGATAAGAAAATGCTTTTCACTGTATGTGGTAGTCTTGTGGTTTGTTTTTTAAGGGGAGGGGATAAATAACGTTGAGAGATGTATAGCTATGGTGATTTGTCTGCTATAACTTTCGATAGTTTGACGACTATCTGCTATTTCATAATGTTTAGTGAACCTTTGAAAGACGAGGGCGTCTCAATGGACCATTTGCATTATAGACTAAATTTTGATCTAGACAAAAATTTCATCACAGCTTGAAAGAGCATCACAAAATTAGTAATATTCCAAAGTTTCGTTGCGAAATGTTGTAAAATGCGGATAATATAGCCTTGCGAAGTTAGCCGTTTTTCAGTCATTTTGTATTACGCATGGGAAATTGACAGCCCAATCGGGTGTTGGGGCATCAATTTCCCGTTTGTAATGCAAAATGACTGAAAATTGTAAATTTCGCAGGGCTATATTATCCCCATTTTACAACATTTCGCAACGAAACGTTGGAATATTACTAATTTTGTGATGCTCTTTCAAGCTGTGATAAAATTTTTGTCTGGATCAAAATTTAGTCCATAATGCAAATGGTCCATTCTCAGAAAACGCTGTCCTCTCATTACACATGTAAAAATCTCGCAATTTGTCAACAAGATATGTTCGCATCAGGCTCGTAGTAGCAAGCTTGTCAACAAGTTGTAACAATGCTGTTATTTTATCAAGTTGTTACAAGGTTGTCACTCATAACTTGTTGACAAATTGTTGAATTGCAGGACGATAACAAGTTGTTGGAACAATCTGTAACAAGTCTGCTGAGCTCAACAACCTTGTGACAAGTTGTCGTAACAAGCCGGGAACAAGCAGTGCGAACACATCCTGATGACAAGTTGTTGGAACAGCATTGCCACAAGTCTGTTGCAGGTTTGTCACACTACTTGTGCGTTTTACATACGGTAACTGAACTCTTTGCCTTTACTAGGAATCTCTGATTTCGCGTACCTTCAAAAAGCCGGTGATATGGACACGGGGTGCTTGCACAATTGTACCAAGAACAACACAGTAACAGACTTCACCAACACGCCTGAACAAGAACGCTCCTTCTTGCTAGATCTGTTCCGTGCAACCCGTGGTCGTCAGTTCTGGGGGATTAAGAAAGGATGGGATCACAACAACACGCATCATTGCAATTGGTATGGTATAAAATGCTACAATAACAGTCATTATGTAAAATGGATCGACCTTACCGGAAACGGGTTGCATGGCAAACCGCCAAATTTTTGGAGATTTCGAAATCTACAAGGCATATGTTTGTCTCGTAATAAAAATATGATAGGGCAAATATCCGATGTAATATCAAGTAATATGACACGGCTTAGACGTCTGTTCATTTCGTTTACTGGCTTGAATGGTTCGGTCCCATGGAGTGTTATACTACAGCTTCACAATCTTGAAAAGTTACAGATTTGTTGCATGTATACTGAACTAAACGGCAGCCTACCACACGATATTGGAAGATTAAGCAAACTTCAAGTTTTCAGTATTGGTGAAAACAACATAAAAAATGTCCATCTACCATTGAGCATCAGAAATCTAACAAAATTGTGGTTTTTGGACTTAGAATATGTGAGTTTGCTGTCTGGAGAAATGTGGTATTTTAATAATATGACTCAAATGCAGTATTTGCATCTGACAAATTGCGGAATAAAAGGAACACTACCTGAGGATTTTGGACAGACTCATCCCAATATTATTGAGCTGCGTCTATATGGTAATAATTTAACGGGCGAACTACATTCGTGTTTTCTTGGTTTCAAAAAGATTACTCAGCTATCCTTAGGTAACAATTCGCACCTACGTGGCTTGCTCCCGACTGCATTGGGTAAACTCGACACACTGCAAGTACTTGACTTATCCGGGAATAATTTCACAGGTTTTGCCGAAAACATGACTTTCAACAAACAGCTTCAAACACTGTATATTGATCAAAATGTCAACTTTAATGTCAAGGGTAACCGTCTTTTACATACCTTGAAGCCTTGCAGTGATCAACTTCGCATGCTGGTCGCAAAAAACTGTGGGCTGAAAGGCGGTCTTTCGAATACGCTTTGGAATTTTGGCAAAATTATGTATGTAGACCTCAGCGAAAATAACATGACAGGACACATCCCGACAAAAGATGCGTATAGTATGGCTTATCTATTCTACCTCAATTTAGCTTCGAATAATTTTAAAGGCGAATTACCCAAGAGTTTTTTTGCGCCTTTAAAGAGCCTGACCTACTTGGATCTTCGGGGAAACCGGAATATGAAAAGCAAGCCCCCTTTCCTGAACCAGTACTTGGTCCCCACACATACAGAGACTTTGCATGAACGTACGTTTACTTGCCCGACGTTACGATTGACACTCACAGGTGGCAGAGCAGATATAGACCCTGATTATTATGGATATACACTGTGCTCTTGTAACGCTGGGTTCTATGGATTTATGAAATACTGCAAGCCTTGTATGAAAGGCGCTGCTTGCGACGTCGCCACACCACCGACGCAAACATTTAAGGCGGAAATCAAAGTTAAAATGACAATTGAAAAGGGGTATTGGCCATGTTGCGGAAATTTTACTAGCATCACTCGTATGGTGAAGTGTAGCCAAGAGAAAAAATTTGATGATGAGATTTGCAGCCCGTCTGGAAAATGCAAATGCAAGTTAAACGTTAACCCAGTCACAGAATAGGAAGTTATACCAGAAGCGTAACTCTAGTCGTTTCCCTTATCCACGAAAATTCTAACTCGCTCACGTCAGGCCACGCCATCCTGGCTAGTACAGCCGGAAGTTTTTATCAGGATTTGG